GGTCATAGGAGGAGATCAGGTTGGTCAAGCACAACCTGCTTTCATGAACCCGTGCTGGCTGGGCCTGATCCACTGGCTGTCTTTTTCTTCTCTTAAAGCCTGTAAATTCCATTCAGCTTTGAAAAAGACATTAAGTCTCCAAAATTGATAATGCCATTTATTCCTTTATACATTGCCAGAAACAATGTGCACTGCCAGTGCAACAATGATTGATGAAACATATAACGAAGCAGAAACTTTTTAGTCGAAGGTCAGGGACAAATTATTTTCTAAACAATACTGCATATTCCCCTAGGGATCCTACAGGTAACCCAACAAGACTAACCTCACCAACTCTCTTATAAATGCTCATCCCTCCATTGCAGAAGCTCACATAGAGCTTCCACTCATGTTAACAACCCCAACCCCCCAAAAAACCACAACCCTAAAAAAAAAACCAAAGAGAGAAGGGCATGGTTGAAATCGCTAATTATTACATTTTGTCACCTTTCCCTTTTTCAGGATCTTATTCTCCGTGTTGCAAGCTGATGTGGTTTGCCCTAGCATTCAAGGTGTGATTTGCCCTATTGTGCCTAGTACTTAGGAACGTGCTCACTGGCGACTGTTTCAACAGAGAGGCTCCTCAAATCAGTCTGTGCCATGCTTACTATAAGGGTATCTCAGCAATTAAAATACCTGGCACTATGAATTCCTCTGCTGTCGGTATCTGCCTAACCTCATTCATTTTTACAGCTGGAATCATCTGGAATGGGTCTGTTACTTGTCCTCAGGAGAGCAAATGGCAAGGGATTTACAGCACAGTAACTAACCTCAGGTCTCGAGTTTGCTCGTTCCCTGGCATACCATTACATCCTTGGGAAAAGATAATGCAGCTGACAAAAAATGTCACAGCCCCTCAAAATAAATAATATCTGTCCAATTTAGGGGTGTGCTGCCAACTCTGTTTATGTTCCCGGCTTTCTCTCAGCACATTTCTAAAGTTGTGGACTTTGTTAGAAGAATAAGGGAAGAGCAAGATTCAGTCAGATTTCTTCTCAGAAGAAGGTCTGTGCCTGTTCCTCATCACTCAGTAATGGCATTTTGGCATTACAGCAACTGAATATGCAGGGGTGTTTGGGTAGCAACCTAAGAGCCTAATAAATAAAACATGAAAGTTGAAGTAGAGAAAATTCAGTAAGATTTCATGCATGCTTTTCATTTTTCATGCTAAGGATCAGAATGCTAGCTACATTTCAGTGCCCAATTCTGTATTAATTATTAAATTCACTCATTATTCCTCTTATTCCATTAGAATTAAAAACTCTAACCAAAACCCAGCGTGTCAGAGACAGTACAAACAGTAAGTCAACAGTGTAATACCATACTTACGTATAAGTGAAAATTAAGTGTGTCTAATTAAATGCTTATGTTCTAAATAGACAAGACAAAGCAAGTAGAAAGATACCTGTTTTGCCAGCATGGAATTGAAGGTAAATGGGAGCCAGAGACTCCTCTTCCTACATACATTCTAGGGTTCAGCACACTTAAAAGTTAAAGAATCAATATGGTTCTAGAAAGAACGTGATATTAATTCTAACGCATCAGAGTATTTCAATTTTAGGATTGTTTAACTGCTCAGTTGCTGGCAGAGTAAATATCAATTAAAAAAACCCTTATATATACACAACAGAACATGAAAAGAAATGGTCAGTGTATCTGTACTGTATTGCTTACAGCTTTAAAAAGAAAAGCAGCTGTTCTTTGGCTTACCTCCACACACCAGATTTTAAGCTAAGGAAGCACAGACCTTTTCATGCAAAAGTTCACTTTAACCAATGTACAACTTACGCATTTCTTCAACAACGTCTGGATCACATTCTCTGTATTTGTCTATTTCTGCCTTTAGCTGCTCTTTTTTCTGCTGAAGGGCAGCAAGTTCCTCTATTAGAGCTGCACGTTCCGCCTGAGGATTCAAAGTATGTTGGGAGATATAAAAAAACCAAAAATAAAAAGCAGTAATTATTGCACAGAACATTTTTCAAAAAAGAAAAAGATGTGAATGTAAAAGCTGTTTTCACTACTGCTTTCTGTCAATGAACCACCTGAGCATTTCATGCACACACAAAACTTAGTGGCACTAAATGATACAGAGTACAAATTGGAAGGAAAAAAATTAAGGCCAAAATGGATAAACAAAAGAATAATTTTCTACAACCTTTGAACTCACTGTGGTTTGACAAACTCCAAACAGATCTCTTAACTGTTGGGCTTAAAGGTTAAACAATATTTAGGAGTGCTGGTCTTGTAATTAAGGGCAGCATTACAGAAAAACCTACCGTTCACGTTACCACAAATCGGGATGCTGCGTATGAACACCCTCTGAATTTATTTTCCTCCTTCTTTTTTCCACACCATTTAAAAGCAGTGGTCTCAAAAATAAATGTAGATATGTAGATATTTATGACAGTAGTCTTTGCTGGGAGAGTATACAATATCGACCTCAAATGTTCTAGTGATCAATAAGAATCTGTAGACACTGACTCAACATGAGCTCTCCCATAGCCAATTCAGCACATACTTCTAATTCAGTCTGTAGTCAGAGCCAAACACTAACTGGCTGATACTCAAAGAACTCATGTTAGGGCACTGGGTAGCCTAAAAAAGCCAGATAGCATGAGATTGTAAACCATCGGGTTTTTAGCCAATAGCATGCAGCAGTCTGGGGTGTTTTGGTGGGGTTTGAGTTTGTTTGGGGGTTTTTTGTTTGTTTTTTATTTTGGTTTTTTTGCAACTTCCATATTCCCAGTGCATTTGCCAACAGTCTGGATTCAGCACATTCTGAAAATGCAGATTGGAAATCAAAAGCTTCCAGACACTGGGGTATGGTGGCCACCTGCTCAGAGACCTACATCATGATCTGCATTTCTTGGGACTTCTTCCTGATGTATAATCTGGAACCAAAACGTTGGAAGCATCAGCCAGAACAGGATTTCCAGGACCAATAGCTTCTTGTGACTAGGGCATGCCACAGGGTAGAGAAGCCCAAGTCTCGAACAGTCCATTTGGAAACCTGACAAGCACAACTGCATGAGAAACCTGCCTGCAATTCCCTGATTACAGTCAAACCCAGGGCATTTCTATAAAACATTTTGAATTCTAAGATTTGGCACTTTCCTACAAAATTCAATTCCACCTGAAAGCTTCTGGCCATCCCTGTTCATGCATTTATTTATAGGAGCTTTAAACCACTGTAGACTGAGCATCTCAAAACAAATCAGCAACTTAGAATACTATATGAAGTATTTCTAACTAATATGCTACTTCATATATAGGGTAAATATGAAGCCTAAACATTATTTTGCACTGTTAACAGCTTCAGCATGCAAAGAGAACCAAGCTTACGTGGCTGCTCAGTATAGTAATTTAGAAATCTAGATTATAAACACGATTTAAAAAAAAAAGGCCCCCAACACCTAAGTTTGCAGTTACTAGATTTGGCAGTTCAACAGCCATTGGCAACTTTGGTACATACTTCTGGGTAGTTCAAATTTTAAGATATCTTTAAATCTGAAAAAGCCTGGAAAATTACCAGACTTCAGGCAGTCACACATTTTCTCAGCCTTAGAGCAGCCAGTTGTCAATATTTTACTCATTAGTGCACGACCAACTAAGGAATACTCTAATATCTGATATTTTTTTCTGTCTCTTTCTCATCTCCAGTATTCAGAATTCTTAATGGATTTCTGACAGCTATATTAGTATTTACAAACTATACATACTTCTAGCCCTATTTCCTGGTAGGAATGCCTCCCCCCTCAAAGCAACTTACAGTATCTTCACGTCCAATTTTTGACTTCTCAATGCTTTTTTGTAAAGCCTCTTTTTTCTGACTGTTTTCAGCAAACTGAGAAAGGAAATGAAGAACAAAATCAACCTATTTCTATAACTTATATTAAACATACCTATTAAAAAATGTGTATACATAGAAGTATATTTAAACACGTGGATGAACACTTTTAAGTATGTAAATTTTCATATACTTATAATTCATGTAATAAAAATAAACACAAAATAAATACAAAGCATCCAAATATAAGTTTGAGGCTCTGAACCATAGAAAAGAATTACAGGGAGCAACTTAAGGACTAAGAAATTTTCACTCCTGTGGCACATAATCTTGTTCAGCATGGGACCAAAATCCTATTTCATACCATAATCTGTCCTCTCCATGCAAAGGACTCCATGACACGGAGGTTTTGGATTAGACGATTTTCTTTGGTTCTTTTCCAGCTCTTCTTATTCAATGGAAGCAGTAACAAAAGCTGTAGCAGATCCACCTGCTCAGCTGCTGATACCAGTCTTCCCAAAGTCTGGTATGCCACTGGCATGGCCCCAATCCTTTTGCATACTGGTGAATAGAAGCCTCCATAGCTCAAAGGCATGTAAAGCCACAGCCCCTTTTTTCTCTGCTGCGCTCACACAGCTAGATTTTAGAGTTCCTCTCCTTCAGGCCCGAGGCATAGGAATCTCACAGAAGTCGCCTCTCGCAGGGCTGGTGTGAATACTCCCTGCATTTTCCTGTTACTTCAGGAGGAATCGCTCCTCAAGAGAGATCGCTCTGCATTAACCTGCCACCCATCTTGAACCAGGCCCTTCCAGTTTAGTTGGAAGTTTTCCGGAGACACTTTGGAAACCCTCAAACTGAGCAGGATGTATGACTCGCCCCTCAGGGACAGAATACTCAGCATTAGCCAAAGCCAAAGCATCTATTACATGAGATGAATGAGAATGCAAAAAAAATTTCTAATAAAATATAGTTTGGAACCTGGTTTACTGCATTTGAAACCAACACATAAACAACAAAATAACCCCAATAGTATGCTTTGTAACTACTCGCTCTTTGGCTTAGCTTTAAGATGTCCTGAGGAACAGTCAGATAGAAAACTAGTATATCACACTAATCATGAAGACGATGAAGGTGGCTGTCAGAGCCCAGGTTTCATTCTGCCTTCCCCCAAACACCCTCACATGAAGCCTCCAATTCCACATTCCCTTTCTCACTGAGGATCCCACTGAGTGGAAAAGCATTCCTAGACATTTCTTGCAATGTCAAGCCTTGATAATTTAACCATATAATTTATATTTTCATGCCACTGAAACACCAAGACCACATTCATAGAATGCAAACAGAGGTGTTTTGGAGCTATCATCACTTCTCAATTTCTATTTAAACACATGTTCAGTCCGTATTTTCAAAATACATATTAAATGTAAATTCATGATAAATATCAGGCAAAGCTTACTTGTCCAGTCTTAGAGATCAGCCATAACAGTAAAAAGAAACTCCATACTGGTGGTCCATATAGATTAGGACCTAGCCCAACTGCAGCTCACTGGGTTTAGCGGTTCCTTTCATAGCTCAATTTTTAAAAATCACTTACTCCTTCTGGATAAGTATGTATTCTTGTCTGTGTGTATACTCACACATGCATGAAGGTCTCCTTTGAAAAGAATGTTTCAGTTTTTCTTCAATTTATATAGAAATTACACTAATGGTAAGGCATATATGATTTGGGGATAAATATGTCCAGCTGTTTACTCATTGCTTTCAGTGCAAATAACCACAGAGGCAGTGTGGGTTTCAGTATGTGGCTTGAAGTACACCAACATCTTAATTTTGGTGTACAGTTAAACAGTACTCTTTCTGGGCTTTCCACAAAATTTGTATAACCTTAAGTGTGTTAGTCCCCACAGTATGCTGTACTATACAATTCAGAAGAGGACAAATACTTAGGTATAGGTTGCAGTTCATGAAGCCCAGGGAAGAAAAGCACCAGAGCACACATTGTTCAGTGTCTCTGAACAAAGAATTTTTCTGGGACAAAACTCACAAAGGAAGCAGAGAATCCAAGGAGCTTATCTAGGCCCATATATCACAAGTGCAAAGAATAAGCCAATGCTTTCTGCAACAGAGAGTCCATAAAGGTGCCGCTTTCTCTGTTTTTTCATAATTATCAGGTTCTTTAGGAACGTTTCTGCATTCCCTAAGATGGAAGCACAGGAGGAGCTCTCAGGGAGTTGCAATAAAATCATAAAAGCTGGTTTCCAGCTTAGAAGCATGTTTCACAGGTTGGCATCTTATTATTTTTTTGGTTCTCTATATTCCACAGCATTTAATCATGAAAGAAACAGTAATGACAAACATTGAGAACTACAGGAATTTCCTACATTCTGACCTACATAACATGTAAAGTTGCCATGCCACGAGGTTAGAAGATGAGAAGATTAGAAGATCTTCCTCTGTCTAAAAGCAATGATGATTTTATTCAAGATTTTTGCTTTCTTCTCTCTCAGATTATTTTTTTTAATCAGTCTTCACAATCAAGAATTTACAAAACAAAATGAAACCACAGATTTCTGTGTATTATTTAGAAATCACAGTGGGTATTTCCATGACAACAAATATTCCATGAGGATAAGGAAAGGAAAAGTAGAAAGATGCAAGATATTGAAAAAAACCAGACATAGGACAAGGTTGCAAAGGCTGAGGAACAGATGGACAGAGTCTGTGCGAGGAATCTATGACGACAGAAGAAGCAGGAAGGCTTGAATAGAGAGACGGGAACACAGCTGAAAATAACAGTACATGAAAGAAGGAAAGACAGTCAGCAAGGACAAAGGAGTCGGAGGAAGCATAAATACAGATGGTACAACACTTAATTGAGAGGTAAGAGCAAATGGCAGATGAGAGGTTATAGGGCATTGAAAGAAAAAAAAAGCAGAATTTGCAAGTGTTGTGTACATATGACAGCAGAGGATCACATCTACACAAATATAGTGACTGACTTTCCCACTCACCAGCTGTAGAAAAGCTTGACTGCAAAGGAGCACAGTAGCAGATGGAAGATTTCAATCCTTGGAGCAATCTTGGGACATTTTTCAAGGGAATTGGCAAATAATTTCTCAAGGAACATTAACCACCCTAAGAGAAATCTGACTCCAGCCAATAGCAATGAGATTGTGAGATTGATCTGGAGAAAAAGTTACTTACTGTCTCCCTTCTATGTTTCTTAAAAGAGATGTCTGGTCTGACACATGAACAATCTTCTCCTGCAAGTGTAACTGACCATGTGTGGAAAACAAGTACAGAAAGAAATATTCTACTGTACTAGAAAGTTTCATGTCTCCAGTGTGTCTGACTCCTCTGAATCAGCATATGATTAAGCAAGATGCAAGAAAGCTGGAAAAATGTCATCTAGAGGAAAGCTGTTCAAAGAAGGAGAAGAGACTAAATGATTAGAAGTAAAAAAAGTAAAAAAAATTCTCCACAAGAGCATTTTCAGTGTTTGCAAAACATGATGGGAGCTTACAAAACCACAAATTAATGAAGTAACTAACTAGCATCTCTAAACAGGAGAGTTGGGAAACAGTTCCTTTAATTTTACAGACCATTGTGGTCAATTAAGTGACCACTGGCCTTGCTTCAACACTAATTTAATCCGAAGTCCCCCAAAGGGATGTTCCTTCTTACTTTGCAAAGGTCTCACAATGTTTAGCTATACATTTGTGCAGCGGTTTGCATGTGCTAAGTGCTATGTGCTGATGATAACCATCAGTTCCATCACAGGCCTTGGGGTCTGGTTTGTATCAAAGGACACAGATGAGACAGCAGGTAATTTCTAATATACTATGCACGCATTATTACTAGGGTTCCACTTTGGCAAGCCAGTGATGTACATTTGGAAGAGGAACGTTTAACCCTGACAACAACAGCGGCAGGTTTCAGTTCTCTTCTCAGAACCTGCCTGATGCTATCCTGGCTCTACACGACTGGATTTTTCTTCTCCAGCAAAAGTTTTTGTTGGTTGTATTCCTTCTGGTTCCTCATTCTTAACCACTCTAACCACCACTATTCCACCATACATGTAGCTTGTCTCTTAGCATATTAAAATATCTGCAAACCTGGTGTAAGCCATGCAAACACAGACCCTGGTATGTATACTGGACAAGAATCAAACCAAGGTCTCATATGCTAACCACCAAGAGCATTCACAGCTGTTATCCCACTGTGATTATGGTCTTAAAGAGAAATATCATACACTCAGTTTTCTTTCAGCCAAAACACTCAACCAAAAATGGTATTAAAAACTACCGCTATTGCGAGCACCACTCTCTGTGGCACCGTGGAAGAATTCAAGACATCCATTTTTTAATTGTTTCTAACTTTGCAAAGTTATTTACCTTGGGTTTGAAGCTCACTATGCTTTGTTTCAGGCCAGAGGCAAGGGCTTGTTTGCTTTTAGCTTCAACAAAAGCAGTTCAAGAGTTTTAGGGTGACATTTGCAGTAGATGGGTGTATTTCTTTCCTATGTTAAACCTAACCCACCACTGAAAAACTTAAATGGAATTGACAGAAGGCATGGAGAGAAAGTACTTCAAAGCATTCCTCTAGATTTTAGAGAGAGATAAAAAAAAATTTTGAAGCCAGAAAGCAGACTAATAATATAGAGAGTAAAAATGCAAAGATTAACAGCCAAAGAACAATCTGAAAATATTGAAAACAGACCTGTTGTGTTAAAAGACAGACATAGAACATTACTAAAAGAAACTGCTCAGCAATCACTGTTGCCTAAAACAATAAAACTTGAAAGATAAAAAAAGGCACATCGATGTGCAGATTTTCTTTCTAAAATACTACACAAAATAAGCATGCAACTACTTCTTTTACATATACAGTCACAAATCATACTTGCCAGGGCCTCCAAATACACAGAAGTAAACTTTTAAGTTAGCTAATTATGCTCGCAGCAGAGCGGAGAGTACTACCATGAAGGGCAGCACTGTCAGTTCTGCTCTGCCCTCAGGATGCCTGCGTACCGCTCGTGAAACGCCACTTTTGTGTAT